GACGCGGAGAGAGAGAGGAGACCTGTAGGTCTGTAGCTCTATCCAGGCTTGTAGCGCGTCGCACCCCTCTCTCTCTCTCTCTTACTCAGAGTCAGAGTTGCAGTGTTGTCAGCTGCATTGCAAGCGCAGTGAAGTCGAAATGGTGGGGGACATATCGTGAGGTTATAGTGACGTCATTACGAGAGGCCGCGAATCAATCGCGCGCATCTCATGCGATAACATTTGCTTTGTAGCTCCGCCTGCACGCGTTGCAAGTCATTCTCAAATCCTGGAAGAGAATTATTTGAATCTAAGTAAGGTTATTCTGGGCAATGGATCCGAGAGACTTATCTACGCCATTATGGAGTTAACATGTATCGTCTCGGCAGAGGCGCGGAAGCTATGTTCAAGCTACGGGGGGTGGGGGGCAAATTCCAAAATGCCACGCTGGGCTCTCTGAGTTTAGAAAAGCCCTCCTTCAAGCCAAAACAGGCCATCTACAGGCTAGAGCGGGTCATCTGCTGGTCATAATGGGCTCTCAACGGGTCAAAATGACTCCTGTACAGGCCAAAATAGACCCTCCGCAGTCAACAGTGGACCGGCTTTCTACAGGTCAGAATGGGCCTCTACAGGCCCGAATGAGCCCTTGACAGTTAGTAATGGGCCTTCTTCAGTCCAGAATGAGGCCTCCACAGGCTCAGAATTGCCTTTTTGGCCAGAGTGAACCTAAATGCGACAGAATGAGCCCTCGACAGGTCAGAATGGACTTTTCCAGGCTGACATAAGGACATTTACAGGCTTACTTTGGCATACCAGAATGGGCCGATGAAGTTGGCGGGGGGGGGAGGGGGGGGGGCCAATGCGGGCTGACCCCACTGCCCTCGCTCTCCCTCGGCTCCCTCGTTCTTGCTTCTCAGCCCCGCTAAAAGTAGTCTGACAACTACTTATAGCATGCTCCAGTATTATGCCCAGGGCACAGATTGGGGTCAAATGCATCAAACAGATTGAGTTCCTCGAAACCCGCCTTCTAGTTGCATTTTCATTTAGATTTTGCATGCATATTGCATCTTTTTAACCCCGATAAATTCCAAACATCGTCTCGGATGGACTTGATAAAAGCATGGAAGGTCATGAGTCCTGATTTTCGGCGTTAAGGGTTTGAAGTTTTCACGCCGACAATAATCGGACTTTATTATGCTAGGGTGTACTGGTTAAATGGTGCCGCCAAGCAAAACTTCGTTGCATTATCAAAATTCAACATACTTTGTACTATTCAGTACTCAGTACTCACAACCCATGTGTAAAAATATAACAATTTTCCTTATCAGTGTCGCTTAACGCGTCCGCAAGCATTGCGACAAATGCAGGGTAGAAGAACGTAATGAGTTTCAATCCACAAAGCACGATCGCATGGCAAATACCAAACTACCTTCCGTGAGCTCCCTGGAGTTGCGATCACATGCGCGGAACAACACAGAAGATGGTGTAAATACATTCCAATTCCGTTTTTCGTGAAATGCCTCGCACGAATCGTTAGTTTTCTGATGTTCGAATGCCTTTTGCAGCCCTCAAAAAAACTTCCAATGATGGTTTCTAACCATTTTCGATCATCCATATGGCTGTGCTTATTGTTGGACTGAGGTATGCCGTGAATTTGCCTGTAACCTCGCTCCCTGGGCAGGCCACCTCAACGCAACATCACAGACAGCTCGCAAATAGCTTTGCAAACCAGGTGCCACGCTCAAGTAATCAAGCAACAGATGCAAATGAACAAACATAACCTTGCATGCCGGTGCTGGCCTTGAGACCATTACGCAACGCAGCCATTGCTGGGCCGGTGGGCTCCAGTATGTGGCAGGCAGCCATCCGGCCGGTCCAGAACAGCGCGCCTGGCCGCCCCGTCACACCTCCAGGCGCAGGAGTCTGTGACGCGGCGCCGGTCGGCCCGGCGGCGGCCGCTGGCAGCGGTGGGTGGGGCCGACGGGGCGGTGAGCCCGGCGCCGAGGCGCACGATGTCCTGGCGCGGGGCCAACACGGGTGGGGCCGGCCGTGCCGCTTCGGCGTCTGACCGGGATGTCCGACAAGAGACGTCACGATCTGGGCATGTCCCAAGTGCTGGGGAGATTATTTACAGCGGGGGTGGGCTTCATGGGGAGCTTCGAGAGAGCTGGACCGGCCTGTGCTCTGCTGGTGTGTTGGCCACCCCGGTGCCGGTCATCGTTCGGTGTTGACCTCGGAGGCGGCAGGATTTGTGGAGTCACCTCCCACGGTCGCTGAGACACAGCGCATGTTCCCGCGGTGGAGGGCCTCCATACTAGGGCCCTATACAAGCAGGTCATCAAGGCGCAAGTCTGCATTTCCGTGCGATGGAACGTGGTCGCGCCAACTACCGCTAGCTACGTCATTGCTGACCGTGCATTGTGTACGTGCAAGCCGATGATAGTTTATGTGTTCTTTTCAAGATCCTGCCAAGTCATTGGTATTCACATGCTGGCCTCCCGGGCAAGCGGGCTTCGAGCACGAAACTGCTGCATGCGAGAAATGGCGTCGGAAGCAAAGGAGAGAGGCGAAGGAGATACAAACACGCATTTTAGAAACATGTAGGTGCTTTGATGCATGCATGGGTTTTAGATACATTTATAAACAAATAATGACACACGTAGGGATAATCGATTGTAGTTTCATGCTCGCAATCCATAAATCTAGCCGAACGACGATGGACTTAGAGGTCACCTGATATCTCTTTTGTGTAAATAATGTTTGAACCACTAAAAAAATGATGCAAGCGAACTGGTCGCCTGCGATTGCAGTAAGCTTACACCTTCAGTGGGAATTTCAAGATCCAACCGTTAATGCGTCACAAGGGATGACTTCTTCCTCCACGCCACGTCGACCGCATTTGGTGCGGGACCAGTTGGTAGCGAATGCGCGTTTGTCGCAGAATGCATGAAAAACGCCTTTAACGTGGCCACCTCATGCGTTGCCAGTGCAAACCTTCGTGCGGCATTTAGCCATTTGTGCAAATTGAATTCGGCATCAAGGAGTTAGAGGCTGTGGCCTGTCTGCACGACACGCAGGCCAATTGACCAAGCATTGTGTCATGTCGCGCTGGCGCGGCGAAGATGGCTGCCGTGTTCACACCGTGATCACGTGACCCGAGCAGAATCGCAGGACATACAAGTGCTGTAAGCCCTGTTTGCACCGCAGTTGGCGCTGGGCGCGACCATTCGCCC